CNCAATCGATTTTTCGTTAGCATAAATGAATGGAAATTTCTTACAGGTGTAGGATACATAAACAAAATTATTATTATATGCCAATTAGCATATAAGCAAAGACACTCAAACCAAAACCAGAACCTATGTAATTAATAAACAAAGAAAATATTTACAAACGTTTTTCCTCTTTTTAAAATAGATATTATCATGTATATACAGGATGTATCAGAATGACGTTTTAAAAATTTGGGGGATTGTAGAAGATGAAATTTTGAACGTTTTGATATAAGGAACCCATAGTCGGAAATGTGATATAAAGTTTCTACAGCACTTTGCGGGTCGGTATGCTGAATGAAACAGCAGAATACAGTATTTTATGACAAATTTTATTGAAAAAACAGTAGAGTACAATCAAACTGTACAGTATATCGAATCAGTGGCTGCACTACTTTAGAGTAAATGTTCAATGTGACGACCACCAACTTCGTTACATAATGTGCAACGATGAACTATGTTTTGTCTGACTCTGTAAGATGCCATGTTCTCCTAATGGTATTAAATGCTGTAAAGATGCACTCCATAAACTCATGAACTGTTCCTACAGGTGTTGCGTACACAAGGGACTTTACATAACCCCAGAGGAAGAAGTCAAGAGCAATAACATGACGTCAATAGATGGAAGGGCAGCTACTAAAGTGAAGGGCGGTCAAGCTCTTCCTACTGCTGTAGAAACTTTATATCACATTTCCGGCAATGGGTTCTTATATCAAAATGTTCAAAATTTTATCCTCTAAAATCCCCCAAATTTTTAAAATGTCATTCTGATACACCTTGTATAAAATGTTAGTAAATATTTTCTTTATTTATTAATTACATAGGTGCTGGTTTTGGTTTGGTTGTCTCTGTTTATATAATCCAGTTTTGGAGAGTTACTAATAGACATATATCTAGAAGCAAAGCTAAAAAAGAATTACCACTGATTAAACACTACCTGAATACAAATTTCTTCATGCAAGAAGAATTCTGAAAATACTTCTAGGAAACAGTATGAAAATTTTTGATTATACCTTATCCCTCTAGACTGGTTTATAAACCAAAGAAAATTCTTCACAAGTTTACCTGCATTATTCTGTATATGAAAACTAAACATAATATTAAATGAAGGCTCACAAATGAAGATATATGAATTTGCTATATTAAAATACAAATTTAGAGTATATTCTATATAACACTAACAATTCCAATATGCTTAATTAGCATATCATTTAACAAAGTCATTTTTTAAAACATTTTATAAATTCAATTTTTATAATCTATGTTTGCAGACACAGTATTTTTAATTTACGGAATTAGTAAGTGCCAAATTTTGCTGTATAATTGTCAAATATTATTCCATTTCACTCTAACTGCATCATTTATATTACATAACAGTTTTTCTTAAATAAGAGTTTCTTGAAGCTTCTCTGAAACTTCACAAACATATGTAGTACTGCTAACATCAAAAGAAGATATAATACCACTAATTGAAACTGGGATGCTTAGATAACTATCTTGTATAATAAATTTTTGAAAAAAAAATTATTTCTCTGTATCCATACCGTAATTCAGTTATTTTCTAGTAAGATAATTTTTAAATAGGGCCCATGTTTACACACTTTTATTCATCTGTATTTACAAAAAACATAATGCAAATGACTAAAAGGATACAGAGTAAATAAAGTGTACATTATTTCGATTGTAAATAATTTAATTTTTATTTTGTAACTCGTAAATTTTATTTTTATTCTTGCGTCATTTTAGAAAAAGAACAAAGAATTTCTTCAAGAATAAAAGTAATTATGCTCTTGTATTTGAGTATTTGAAAATTTCAAAATTATACCGAGTAAAATTGGTTATTACATTCGACAATACAAGAATACATTTTAATTAGTCTAATTTCTATCCATTATTTCTGGCTGAATTACTATTTGTTTAAAATATTTAATTAATACAATTTACGAATTACAAGAATATAAACATTGGAAACCATTAGCGTAAATACTTCCATGGTAACCAATTCAGTCACAAACAAAACAAAGAAACACATTTTTTTACAGATAAATCCATTTTTAAAACTACATTCCCTTCCAGAAAAAAATTTTATAGGAACTACATAAATAATGTTATATTTTTGTCCGCATTTTTTTCACATTTGTATGGTATAAAGGAAAACTGCATTTTCATTAATTTTATAAGCATATATAGGATCTACAGTTTTTCCTTCTATATTCAAGAAAATTAGAAAAGAAGTTTATGTGGGAAATAACAGTGATAATAAGTAATTATATGTAAGTAAATAATATAGCTTTTAAGGAAGGAAATTACTTTGTAAATTATATAATTATTAAAATATAAATAGATATATGATAGTTAACAATTCCTTCACTGAAAAGAACTTTTGGATCAGTCTTGAACTGTGTGGATCAAAAATTATTCTTTATAGAGAAATTTTAAAATGCCATATACCAGTATTTCTTTATAATATATATATAGCTTTGACATATTAATATTTTTTTTCCTTAAAGATTTACATAAATACTATCTACAAAACTGGCAAAAACTAGTTACTATGCAATCATAAAATTACAATAATTACAGGTACAATATTTTTTCCTCCTCAAAATAATAAGTTAAATTGCATAGAATAAAACAATTCTATGCAACACTTAATCTTTACTATTGTATTAATGTATTTCTTTACAGCTCAAAAATTTTAGACAAAGTTGTTACAGAATTTCTGAAATTTTTCTTCTCCGTAGTTCACCATTAATTACTTCACCCAAATAAGCATACAAGCATTTTAATGTAACATTAACCTTATATATATTATATAAAACATTATCAACCTTGATATCAATTGATAGAAAGTCTTAACTTATTATTCAAAGCTTTTTAACTTGACAGAAGAGTTAATTTAAAGAAAGTCCTTTTGACAAATTGAGATGATTTTTCAATATGAGAAAATTTATCCCAATTTCTAGTTAAATTCTCCAAAACAGGTAATGCTTTTTCTTTACTTCCTAAATGGTAAACTGCTAATTTAAAAATTCCAGTTTGACTATTTGGCTAAAATCTTTCCAGTAACCAAACTTCCTTAGTTACATATTAAAACATTATCCACAATCCACGTAGCAAAAACTTCGACAAAAATAAAGACAATTAATTTTACTTTCAAATGTATGTCATTTTGGAAGTAATTCATGCACAAATATTCATAAATCAGGCTGTAAATGCTCAAATTACACATTTAAATGATCTTCATTTTAAAAATAGAAGAAAAAATTATTTTCACCCATATATTTATTAAATACTTTAACTTGTTTTGTCCACATTAATTAAGCTTTTTTCAAATTCTTTTAAATCCAGGCAGATCCAAAATCGAGGAAACGGCGCACTCTTATTTGCACAGAGAAGCCTAACTTTTACACAATTTTTATTTTTCTTGTTGTTGCAATGCATGCAAACCATTACACATAACATTCGTAGACGATTACGTTGCTAAACTAACGACACACTATCGTAGGCGCAAAGGCTTACGAACATATTCACTCGTATAAATACATCACATATACCGCTCGGAAGTTAGTCCGAGCCGCACGCACGACGTATCGTCACCACATATAACGTTTGCTTACACAATATCAAGCAAAGCACAAAAAAAACACTAGAACATTACACAAATAATTTTTCATATATTTAGCAGTTACCGTAATTAAGTTGCCACACAGAAAAAAAATCACCAGAATTAAGAAACGACTTTTTTCTCGGACACAAACCCAAGAGTCCCGAGAAGAAGAAACTGGGAAATCGAACTCCTTCCGACAGATTCACTTTTTCGAAAGTCGTTTCGACTTCCACAAACAAGTAACACCCGACACGTCCTTTTATATCCAGAGTGGTTCCTCCGGTTCCATGGGTCACAAAATATATTTATAATTTACTTTTTTAATTTAAGAAACTATTTTTGGAAAACCAGCAAAGTGGTAACCTCACATCTACGACTTTCGGTATATAAAATATTAAAAATCGACAGGGAAAGATACCCGTTAAGTTGCGTGGATAATTTTTTAAAAAGTTTAGGAACTAAATTTTTCGCGGGATTTAGAAACTGGCGAAACGAGGAAATTTCCTGTCTGGGAAAAGGGAACAAAGTAAAACGTAACGACGAAAAAGGGGCCGACCGGAAACTAGAGTAAAGACAATTAGCGCGTCGGCGCGATTTTCTTCCCGACCAGCGGCACTTCCGGCTTCTTAGATCCGACGTTTGTGCCAATTTATTGACGTCGCCGCGGAAAGGTCCGAAAAACGGAGCGGCCGCGCGTACGCGCCGCATCGACACCGAGGAGTAGGTGGAGGAAGGGTAAAAGCCATCCGGGGCCGCATTACGCGGGAATGTGTGTTAGAAGGTCGGTAACACGCGGGGGAAACGACCCGCGACCGTTCGATTTTCGAACGGGGTAGAGGCGGGGACGGGAACCGCCGCCGTCGACCGGTTGACTCCGAATTATCGACCCGGCCCGACCACTTTTTCCCTGTCCTCCTCCTTTCCGAAACGACCGGAATTCGGTCCCCCCTGCGGTTCCTTTCTCCGGCCGAGAGCGGCGCTGGCCAACGCGCCGATCGATCCGCGCCGCTCAAGGTTAGGCGCAAACACGCGGTTATCCTTGAAGTATCGACCCTCGAAAAAGGGTAGAAAAAGCACGGCCTCCTTTATCGCGCCCTTTCTTCGCTCCGCCGAAAATTCCGCACTCGTTACGCCGTCGCCCGGCCGCAGAAACGGATTTTCCGTCGGGGAAGACAAACGTCAAAGAGGGTGCTGGAAAGGCGTAACGTCGCCCGATTAGATAAGAGCAGGGGTTCGGTCCCGACCGGAAGTGTCCGAAAACGGGGCGGAGAGGCACAGGTACGAGCCGCGGGCGCGCCGTACGGCTAACATATGGCGAGACGGGAGAGCGGCCGGAGGTGGGAAAAAGACTTACCGTAGCGGTGGAGGGGTGCCTCTTGGCGGCGGCCACCAGGTGGGCGGCGGGTGCGATGCGAAACTTCTTTCCGGTCCTGTGCAGAGATCGCGTCAGATCGGTGAAGCGTGCATGTTGCGACCGGCGCTCATTCATCGGACTGCTACCCCTTGTCCGGCTGACGGCCCGACTGACGATCTCGCGCCGCGCTCTCGTCGCCTACTCCCGGCGGCGGCCGCCTCGACGCTCGACGGCCATCGATCGGGTGACGTAGAGGCCCGACCGACTTTTAAAAACGCGCCTCGCCTCGGCGGGCGGAGGCGAAACTCCGTCGAGGACGGCGCGCGCGCCGACGCTTTCGTCCTCTCTTCTCCGCTCCGCGCTTCTCGTCCTTCCGCCCGGAAGCGGAAGCGCCGTTCTCCTCCCTTCTTCCGCTCTTTCGACCGCCACTTCGTTCGCTCTGGCTTTCCGGACGTCGACCGACGGGATGGAAGGGCGCACGCCCGACACACTGGCGCGAAATAACGCATTGACGTAACCCGGCCGATCGATACGCTGCGGAACGCGGCCGTTTTTCCCAGAAATTTTTGTCGCGAATTAGGGAAATTAATTAAAGAGTTTCTCTCCCGGCGCCGCGCCGCGCCGAGCGCGCGCTCCGTTTACCTAAGCAGGAAACGGAAATTGAGTAACCCGAAACTTTTTCGCAGACTAGAACGCGTCGGAATTGCCGTAGTTCTCGCGGCAGTGGCGATAAAACGCGAAATTTGCCGATCGACTAATCAAAACGGGAGATGGCGGGGCGCCATATTGTAAAGTGGCATTTCTTTCGGTGGCGAAAGGGTACGTGTCGGAAAGTGGTCGGTGCAGAACCGGTAGAAGATCCGATTCGACTACGTCACTTAACGAAACCGGGTGAATCAATAATAAAGAATGGCAGCTGCGTCATTTTTATCGTTGTTGCGAAGGCGAGAATACTCCGCGCGGCTTTCGCGTTTAACGACACTAACCCCCGAATTACAGTACATTTTACACACAACGCGCCGTTTTTTCCCACATCGTAATTAAATATTTCGAAAATTAATTTCTGAAAGGAGATCGAAGGAGAAATCTTCCTTTCGTGCGCAATTTATCGATTTATCGAGAAAATCACGATAAGTGTCTTCATCGATTTCCCACTTATTAACAGGCATTATTGAGAAAAAGGGAGAAAAATGGCAAAAAATAAGTGAAATTTTCCCACATTTTTAATTATCGTAGACCAGTGGTTTTTTCGTAGATTTATCGCAATTTAGGCGCAACACAGCTATTTTTTCCTACACGCTTAAATAGAATATGCAGTAGAGCGGTAGAGTATTGCGGATTATTAGAACGTTCGATTAAAGAGAAATTCTTTAGAAACCCGAAAATAAAACAAGTTCGAACCTTTTGGAAACTTAGTTTATCTTTATTTTCTACGAGAGAGCTCGCTTCTTAATCGCGGCTTTCGGATTGATGCCGCCAAGGTGATGATTAAAAACAATTTTTTCCGCTTATTTTTAATTACCGAATCCATAGACTGACGGTAAGATTTTCGCTTGATTACGACTTCGAAAATTTTAAATATGACGTCACATTAAGAAACACGATGGCTCCAGATCAATCGTTTTACTGACGCTGTACCCGAATTAAAGGGGCGAGTACGAATGCCGGATTGATTTCGTTACTAAACGGATCCGACGTAAATGCAATTTTCGTCGGGTACGTTTACGGAATTTGGCACCGGACGAGGGTCGTTATCGATTCCACGCGCGTTGTCTTTTGTTAAACTTCTGTCCCCGATTATCGCACGAATACCTTCGAAATTACGTTGTCTTCCCTTATACGATCACAGTTTACGGCAGTGGATAACGATCGACCGATAATATAGCCTATTTTCTACACTTACGCGTGTGGCGAGCGTATCTATCTTACCTTACCCCCCCCTCTTTTAACCAACATACAACCGATCAGAACGAGCAAAACAACGCAAAAATCGACTGAAAGACTATGTATAACTTTATTGTAGTCGAACTTTGATGTATCATCCTCTTAAACATTGCCAGTAAACGAATCTCAATATTAGAGAATCCTTCAGTAACCACGAATTTCTAAATTATAATTTTGCATCGCAAACAATACTGTTATAACTAATTATTTCGCCGGTATTAATATTTGAAATGTTTCAATTTAGTGCTAATTTCAGAGGCGAACAAATAATGGCACTAAATCGAAGTTTGATCGTAAAATAAAGTAATTTAACCGAAAATTCGCTACGTTTGCGAAAAAACTGCAAAATTTGCAATTTCTTTTTTCTGCAAAATTGCAGAATTTGCAGGGAAGAATGGAAGAGCTTCGTTAGATTCCCACAGGCTCCATCATAAATCGAGGTTCGGTTCGGACAGTTCTCCAAATTCTATTCCAATTAACTCCAACCATCCATTATGACGTCACGAATAAACAGTAACACAAAGGAAGATATCACGTAACAATAAAAACGAAAGTACTGTAAAAGAAATTATTTATTTTCGAAGAAGAGCAATTTCGAAAGTAAAGGTCGATTAATCACACTATCAAAAGCAGAAACAATTATTAAAAAAAAGAGTAAATCGAGAGAAACACGGGTTACAAATCCCTGGAACAACGTAACAATAGGAAAATGGAGACGAAAATTAAAATAAAATCTATTTCCGGCACAGCTGAAACAACACGAGATAATTTGGAACAACGGAGATACGTAAATATTTGAGAACAAAGATAATGAGGGACGGGGTTTATGTTAATTACGTATTTAACGTGCGTAAAGTAAAAAATTTCGTGTGGAAAATCGAAAATCTACGAAGAGTAAGTCGGAGAAGGTCATTCCTCAATAACGATTAATATGGAACATCGAGAGAATAACAAGTCTGATATCGTATAACGTCGCGGAGTGACGATATATCGCTTTGATATACGACGTTCTCCTCTTTTACGCCGTCGTCAAGAAAGCCACGGGAAATCGAACTCCGATTTATCATCCTTCCAGTGTTGTTAATTTCGGGTTTTATAGTTACAAGTATATAAAATTATCGACAATTTTATACGCAAAAAACTTGATAGTAATCGTAAAAGCGGGGGATTGTGACGCGAGTCTTCTAAAATGTCGAGTTTGACTGATTATTTCGACTTTTAATTTCCGAATGAAGAGATTTTAAATGACTCAAAACAACGTTCCGATCGGAGAAATCGTTTTTTCACGCTTCGATTTATGCTCGATCGGCCTTAAAATCGATTCCTTACTATAAAAAATCCAGGAAACAGTTGCTTAACTTTCCCGGCAACATTTGATGGCGCCATCCGTTACCATATTTTATTAAAAAGTCTTTTTATATTTTTAACTATTATAAAATAGCAAAAAACTTAATTTCGAGGGTACGAATGAGTTTTATAAAACATTGTAAATGCTAATATACGAATAAAGTCATCATTAAGTCCCGTCCTACTGGAGATACACACGACCACCTTTATTTCCCACCCCCTCGACCTTTAATCACCAAAATTTAACAGAATCGATCTCCCTAATAAGCAAACCTCCCTGCAAAATTTCAGTAATTTTTCTCAAAAACCACGGGAGTTATTAAACTTCGAACAGGGTGAACTAAAACGTGCCCCAACACACACACACAAACATCCATACATACATTCATACATAGAGAAATTACCTCCAAATTTTTTTTTTGCATTTTACGACGTTTCAAGGTGTCCCGAGTCCAAAAGTGTAAATATCTTTGGGGTCATTTTTCGACCAATCGCTATACTTTCCTGCGTTATATATAACAGCAGGAAAAGTAATATTAAAAGTTCTCGTGTTTTTATTCGATTTGTGACTAGAGAATTTCCAAGACAGATTTTACTTAATTTTCTAACACCAATACCCAATTCTACAAACCGGTTCGAATTACCTTTAATTAAACGTCTGAAATTTAACGATTAGACCCATTGTTATCGCTTACACGTAAAGTGGCAATTTTAAAGTACGGGTCGATTGAAAGTCGCCTTATCTATCTTATTTCTCGGTCATTGAGAGAGAGAGAATATGATTCTATCTGTGCCATTTAACCGAAGGCGCGTGTAAAATGCGCGTTAACGCGTGGATATTACGCGCACGCACGTATCGCAAGTGTAACTCATTTGGTGGTGTGTAGTTAAATAATACACCGGAAATTTCCGTCATAGGGGGATTGTGTCCGCTTATCTTACTTTCTTGGTTCAAACTTGGCCCAGAGAATTCTGCAATCGGTAGAATGTGGGTAGGACTCCGAAGTTAAAGACCGACAGACAGACAAATTAGTACGTCGTTAGATACGAGAAGTATTTAAGTCTCTCTCCCCCAGCAAAAACGTGGAATTAGAGAATCTTACGTTTATACTTTTTAACAACTAATGGGGCTTATTTATTAATTATCCATTCGAAAACTTTTCTTTCTATTATGATCTCATATTAAACTTAAAGCAACACAATGTTATTCAAATCTATTCTTCCTCATATACTAGTTCATTTATTACCTCAAATCTGTAAAATTCCTTTAGTTATTCATCTTAATGCGAGAGAATATTCCTAACAGATACGATAATAGCAAATTAAAGTCGCAATTTTTGAAATATTTGTTTAATAAAGTAATTTTATGCAAAAAAAGGTGTTTAAGACAAAAAGAAAGCGTTTGAATGACAGCTTTATTGTGTATATTATCAAGTTCATTAATAATTTTACTAAAAATTATCAATAAATACACCTATTTAACAAAATATTTACCATTTCATCATCATCGGAGACCAACAGAGATATTTTTTAATTGGAAACAAGTGGAAGAATCCGATTTAGAATCTTCGGATGACGATTCTAATCAATATTTAAGCCGAATACCTCCGCCGCTAACATAATACAAAGATGATTTAAATCAATAGGTAACCTACGTTAAGGGTATGACCATTGCATATTTTAATAAAAATCAAATTAAGCAATTAAAAGTATCGAGGATTCGAAATCAGATTTAAAAAACAATTTTCTGTGACAAATTTCGATCTGTCAACGTAGATTTGAACTGCATTCATTTTTTTGATATCGAACAAACATTTTAGAGTAACGCATACGATGATATTAAATAATAGGCAGATATATTATTTGCATTCAAAATGCAAAATGAAAAATCATAATAAATTTAAGATGATCGACCAAGGATGTTGCCAAGCTTGTGAATCGCTCTCTCCTGTACTTCTAGAAGCATATTTCATCTACTCAGTATATTTATCATTTTAGAGGAAGCCAGTGGGCTTCCTCTAAAATGATAAATATACTTGTAATCATAAAAGTAAATTGTTCCTCTAATTAGCCTGTATCTAATTGCTTCTTTGTACAAAGTATATTGTAAAATTTCATTTTCTAAAACTGCGTAATTAACAGAGATGCTGACTATTTTATGATGGAGTGAAATGCAGGGAGGATTCTCCGAATGACTGATAGTTTAGAGATTTGACATCGTTTCTAGAGCAAAAATAAAGACAGAAACGGAAAGGGACAAAAGTTCTGCCAAAGAGAATTGAGAAAATTTTAACTTTTCCACACCGACTGACAGACAACAAAATAGTATGTCATTAGATCAGGCGCATTTATGCCAGTTTCAACTTGCAGGGAGAAATTTAATGCCAAAAGATGATAATAGAAAGTGTAAATCAATTTAGAGACATTTGTAGAAGTAAGGAAATATTCTTACGTGCATAATAAATTAAATCCCGTGACAGAATAGGTAAACTGAAATTAGACAAAATGTAAAACAGGTGGCAATTTCTGTTTCCTTTTTGTCTCAATTTCCACCAAGAACATACCACTAAATATAAGCATTTAAAGAATAGTTTAAAGACAGAAATTTCAAAACAATTAAAGTGATGTTTGTTTCAGTTTTAGA